TCTTTTTTGAAGAGACATCTTTTAAAATTGAATAAAAAGAAATTTTGTTATTTGATCGACACATACATGCTAATTATTTATCCTATTGTTTTTTTTTTGGTAGGACAGACTCAAATTTTTTTTTTTTTTTTTTTTTTGGAAAAACAATTTATTTTTTGACAGAGTCCAAGGTGACAAAATGTGAGTGTTGTTGTTTGGTTTAGGTCTCCTAAAGAAAACATGTTAATAATAGAAGTACGATTTTTTACCTGTGTTGATATGTATGTGGTGTATTTTTATTTTAGCTTATAAATATTTTAATTGGAATCAAAACGCGGAGCAGATCTTGCTGGGTAATTACAAGATTTTCATTGATAATATTTTGCTTTGCATAATCGTAATAATAATAATACTATAAATATTATAATCACAAGATGTCAAGGCAATACACCGTTTAAAAAGAAACAATTCAAATATGCGATGTTTGATTATCGAAAATTGGCAGGTGTTGAAGCATGCACGTTACCTTGAACACTTTACAGTCATTCTCACATTTCCTCATGTACACAAGGCTAATCTGACCACGGTGCTCCAGATGATACAACGATGCTACTGAATTTTCAGGGAGGGGCGCAAAGCTCTGGAGTTTACCAAGACTGCATCAATCGTCAATGACATTTTCACTATCCTCCCAGACCAGAGATGGTTGTTGACATGCTGGTCAAAAAGTTGCCTGCAACGGTCCTACCTCTAGGGTAAGGATGGCTCTGTGACCAAATCGTCATAACTCTGGAGGAATATTAAGAGAATATGCAACTTGTTTCAAGCACAGGAGGTCACAATCCAGAGCATGTTGGTGGCCCTGAAGTTGTATTTGGGCTCTGATGTTAAGAGGAAAGTTGTAAAATAGCATTTATTTTGTATAATCATTTTCATACATTCTCTGTTTCTTTGATACTGACCAATTTATAATTTTGGGTAGGGGACTGGTCGGATTTTTGCCCAATCAGTCCCCTGTCCTATAGATTAAAATTATCACATGATTATATATATCTTTGTCAGCAATATGGCCAATAAGAAAAAAGTCATAAAATGGTTCAGATTTTGTTTGATATGTTTTGTATAAATTAATCGTTTCCAAAAATTTTCTGTTTCTTTAATTTTTATTTGATCAACTGAACTTGTTATTTTTTAAATGGGGGCTTTTGCCCATATAACCCACCCTAGGTTAAAGGAGTGTAGCTCAATGAGAGCATGTATATTGACAAGTATAAAGGTGGCAGTTTGACTCTGCCCACTCCTATTGTGATAGTCACCATGACCATTGGCATCAAGGAGAAAGCTGTAAAATAAAATGGTTCGGATTTTGTTTGGTATGTTTTGTATAAATTAATTCATAGATTCTCTGTTTCTCTAAATTTTTGTTTGACCAACTGAACTTGTTATCTAAATCAAATTTATTTAATGAGAGGTATATCATACAAGCACCAGCTATCAGTGATCAATTCCCATGTGGTAACAGCCAAGCCTGGTCTGAGAGGAAGATAGGGAAAGTATTGTCCAAAGCCTTCCAACATGTTTAAGACTGTTTCACCTGTGGAGAAAAAAATCTATGGTGCTGAATTGTGCTTAATTGCACCGTTTTGCATGTTTGTGATAGAAATTTTAATTAAATCTGATACCTGTGATCAACATCAGATTTATTATTCATAAGGAACCATAATTGATAATCAGGAAAAATAATTTATTTTGTGAACACCAG